ATCATGTCACCTTCCTCCCTAGCCACTGCTTTAAATACCTTAGGATAAATTCATATTCTTGAAAAGAGCTCACCAAGTTGTACCAAAAATAATCCCTGCCTATCTTTCCAACTTACCATCCACTTCACATTCTACAGTACAATTGTATGTATTTCTTTTAAAGATGTCAGGCTCTCAAAGGCCTCAGAGTTTCACGCACACTGCTTGCTCTGTCTGGTACCCTCTCCCATACCCTCTTCCTCCAATTAACTCTTGAGTGTTAAGTTCCTCATCTGAACAGCAATTCCTTAGGAATACATCACCTCATTCTCCCAACTAGATCAGATCTTCACATCATGCTTTCCTACATCACTCTAACCTTACACTGTAAACCCCTTGCAGCAAGGGGCCTATTTCTTTTGTATGTCCAAGTTCCAGCCCTTCAGCATCCCTCAGTAAGTGTCTGAATCAATAAAAGACCCACACTTACAAAGGATTACCATATGTGGTTCCAGAACTGTTGCCAAGGGGGGATATTTTCCAGTCATTAGGAATATCATTCAGTGACTGAGTAAACTAAAGGCAAAAAATAAAAATGTATGCAGAAAACCTCATCTCCCAAATTAGGTGGCGATCATTCTTTTAGAGACAGAGTTTGGGGCACTGCTGGGAATCAGGGAACTTACAATTCTCTTAACATAATGGTTCATTAATGAAGCACCCTGTCTTGAGATTTTTCTGCCTAATTAGCATAACACCCAGCTTCCAGAGTTTTCAAAGTGACCAGTCTGTATTAATCTCAGCTTCATAAGCTATAATCAGAGCATTGCCAGTGAAAAAGGAAAGTTGTCAAGAACATATTTGAAGTTTCAACAGTGAATGTTTGCCTTTTAGCGTTCAGCTAATAATTCTTGAGAATGAGGCAGAAGTGAGAGTGAGATATCATTAGCTTAATGATGCAATGCTAATTAATTAACTTCACCTCTTCCAAATAGGTTATATAATATGAACCAAGAGACTAGTTAAGGCAATAAAATTTCCAGAAAGAAATCTGAAGGGAAATAATGATGACTAACTTGTGATGGACCATTTTTGTTTCCAGCAAGAAAAAAAAGAGGTGCAAGAGGAAGCTCAAAGGTTCACTAACTATGTAACACTTGGTCTTGGAAGAAAAGGAAAAGTCCTCTTCACTTAATCATAGGTACTGGAAAAGTACTTGCTAAAAACTTAATGCTATTTTTAAGCAAGGAAGTTATATTTCTTTAGAACAATGCTGGCCAATAGAAATATAATACAAGACATATATGAAATCTTTAATGTTATAGTTGTCTATTTAGTAAAAAAAACTGAAATTTTAGCATTGTAGTTTATTTAACCTAACACATCTCAAATATCATTTACATATGTAGTCAATATTAATTTTTAAATATCAATTTCAATGTCATCAGTATATAAAAAATTGAGGGATTTCTGGGCACTAAGTTTGAAATTTAATATGTAATTTACATCTCAGAGCCTCTCAAAGCAATCTAGCTACATTTCATATGCTCAATAGTCACAAGTGGCTATTAGCTGTGTAACTATGTAACTTCAGACTCTATTACCCAGATGAATGTGAATCAACTCCAATCTAATGAAAAAAACTGGAATACCCTGAATGACCAAATAAAGGGAAACTTTTTGGTATACTTTCACAATCATTTTATATATTTTATTCCAATTTTTTGAATATAGGCAATTCATGGACAGACTATGATTAACTATATTAATAAAGTCATTATTTATGATGCCTTAATTTAGCAATCATCTGTGATCAGTTTCCCTTTTAAAAATCTTAGCGAGGATGCAGAGAGCTAGAGTGTGAAAGAAACTGAATGAATGGAAATCACCGTGGCCTCCCAAGAGGAGAAGCCTTCCTAAGTGAATGTGCACTCAGACCCTTCTGATGGGGAGACTGCCTTCTTTGGTTAACAGAGGGAGTGTCAAGGAAATGAGATGAGAAAGAGTGCTCAGGCAGGCACAGATGTAAAGGAAGCTTATTTGGTCGTGTGCAGGAAGAAAAACACCTCTCATATACTCAATTCACTTCACTAAAAAGGGTATCTCACTTTTGACAGCCACGCCCTGAACATTTAATATAAAAGGGCATTTGTTGCTCACTTTGATTAAGGCTACAATGAATATACCTACATCATAACATTATCCACAGGATAGGCACAATGATCTCTTTTGAGGGGACATATTTAACTGATTCAAACTTTGGGTTGAAATGCTGAAACCAAAAGACTGGTCCAAATGGAGATGGTCCCATTTTTAAGAGCTCTTGCACCTTCAACTCCTGACAGTGAGTTAAGCTATTCCCCATGAACTAAAACAACTTATTTACTAAGCTCAATCTTTTAGTTGCTGTTACTGAGGTGACAATGATTTACAATGCTGTATATGATCTGAAAGTACAGTATTACAGCCTTCAGGTATATCTCATCACACCAAAGCCACCACCGATGCAGCAATAGTCTTCCACCATCACTCAATCTTTAGTTATTATACTGCTCTTTAATGAGAGTAACAAAATATTTTCATTACGTTCTATTTTGGTTTATACATTTAACTTTTGATTTAGTTTATTATCCTAGTTATTAACTTTAAGCTGCTTAATTAACATACAGATATAAAGTTGAAAATAAGAGAAAGGAAGAAATAAACTATTTTTTAATGTCTGGTAGGCATTTTCCATATATTAAAGTTGCTCAACGTTTGAGACACGATAACTAAAGCCGTCATATACAAAAGGCTGTATGTGTATGTATGTGTAAATATTTTTTCTTAACACTTCTCCATAAAGACTAGTAAAATCTACAAACCTGAGTATCATTAAATAATCTTTGCTTACAAATTTATTGTTTTCAGTATTTCCTTTCCAGATTTTATAAATAATCCCTTATTTTACAGTTTTATCTCTGAGTTTGTTCTATATAGAAAAACATAGTATTTATATACATATATAAATTATATATGATTACTATATATATGGAAGAGGAAATACAATATTTAAGGGAAATAATTTCAGGCAAACTTTTGAAAGGTACTATGCTGTTAATATTTCAATCAGTGGATTGACTAGAAAACTTGTCTTCCTTTCTGTTTTTCATCTCAGTAAATGCTCCTTTTGTTGGCCAAGAATTTAAAACTATTTTTGATTGTCATTTCTCACTGGTGTTCTTATTCACCCATCAGGTTGATAACAATTAGCTTTCATTTTGCTTTTATTCATTTATATATCCACTGAATCTTGCCATAATTCACACTTGTTGCATATCTACTATATTCTTATTTCTCTGAGGATATGTCTGTAGTTGGTCCCTATGCTCTACATGCAAAAGAATTGTGTTTTTCCTTCAATTTCAACAGATATCATCATCATAACTTTTATATAATGACATGAACTTTGTAGTTAAACACAGACATATAGAAATAAATTCAATTTCCTTCCAGATAGGAAGTAAGTGCTAAATATCAGTAGTTAGAATGTCAGAGATCAACAGACAGTAACAGGACAATACAAATGAAATTTTTGTCTCTTGAGACCTTGTCAAAATCCTCTGGCAGATCAAGATTGTCTGCTCCATTCTCTAATATTTACTCTACAACTCTCTCAAGCAATGAAAAATATGCTTTGCAGAATTATTCTAAAGGGATATAGGTCTGTTCATGCTTTTGTAGTCTCCCTTTTGTAGTGTTATGCTTTTGTAGTCTCCCTTTTGGGGTGGAAAGAAGACCCTTAAGAGAGGCTGGGCTTATTCTACATGCTACCAACAGTGCCTAGACTCTGGGTTAGAAATTAAAAAAAAAAAAATCCATTATGTGCACAGCCTATTTGAATTCATTTTAAATGAACAAAACCAGCTTCCCTGTGAGAAAAAAGCAAAGACTATTATTAAAAGAAAAAGGAGTTAAATATGCAATAACTAACTTATCCCAAAAGTCCATTGACAGCTAAGATAAATATGGAAAAGCAGCAACTGTGACCTTACATTCGCCATTCACAGCTGACTCATCAGCGCAGCCAACAACATATTAAACTTTTCATTTAATTACCTTTGCATTGGGGATGCACACAGGAAAGGAAAGGGCTTGGACTTTGGAGCCAAGCAGAGTGGACTTTGACTTGGGGTCTCATCTTCCACTCACTAGCTAAGCAGTATTAGAAAAGGTTCTTGCAACTCTCTGAGTCACAGAATCCTCATGTGTGAAGTCAATGTCAACCATGACCCAAAGATGCTTTCAGGGGAAAAAAAAGTCAAGCAATATATATACAGCAGTGCCTAACAGTGTTGGGAGCAAGAGAAGTCACATTAATATTAGTTCCCCTTTCTCCACCCATGTATCTGTGCAAAACAAAATTACTTTTGGCTTTGAAATAAGAACTTTCTGCCTCCTCCACCAGAACACATTTCTCAGCTTGCCACAAATCTGAGACATCACAAAACGACTACATATGGAGGGGTCCCTTTAACACCAGAGTGTCTGAAAAGGAAAATTGATATTAACATGTTAAACTTCATCGTAATTATTTTTAAAAATGGAGATAACACTTTTTTCTTTTGTGTGTCTTTTACATTTTACAGTCAAAGTAAAACCATATAACTTTTTTTAGAAAGTCCTCAGGCTAACTGACAGGATATGGGATCAATTCCAACTTCTATTCTCCTATTCTTTAGCCAGGTTGATAGGTCAAAGATGTAAATAAAATTCTTCTGTCCAGTCTGAGCAGGATCCTGTCGGTGATGTGCTGAGACTTCAAAATGTGTTTTACACATAAAGGGAGAGAGGGAAAGCTGAAGAGAAGGAATCATAAGAAACTTTCCTCTACATAATTTTGTCAGAGTTCTGCAATCACTGTCATAAGCAAAAGGAAAAGAAACACTGACAGAAAAAAGTGATCCCTGCTCCCGTGGGGTCCACAAATGAAAGGGGTAGGGTGGAGGGGTCACTAGTTCCCTGTCCCAGAACCAACTTACCCAGCTGGAGCTGTTCGCAGGTCTGATTTGGATTCTTTCCGATCCCGCATCTGTAAATCGCCCCCGGATTGACTACTGAAGCGTTGGCGAGCCAGTTGGCCTTGGGTGCCCCCACAATGAGCCTGAAGTGAGAAATGTGCACATGCACACATATCACACAGATGTGAGCTGTGCTGCCCACTGAACTCCTGATCTAAGCAAACAGCTGGCGAGGGGGGCTCCCCCTCCTACATGAACCTCCGTGCGCATCCAACCTGGCACCCCCAACTCAAAAGGCCCTCTGGGCCCTGCCACTCCAACACAACTCAGTTTCCTGCACCAGTCAGCTGGCCGGGGCAGCGTTTCCCAACAGCCTCCCCCCACTAGAGGAGAAAGTTTGAAGCCGGCAGGGAATCCCTGAGGCGCCTTTCACCACTGACTCTGAGAAGCCGAGAGCTTGGGGTCGGATTCCACTCACCAGCGGTTTGCCCCGTGGCTGTGCAGAACCACCGAGTAACCGAACAGGGTGTTGGGGGGGCCCTGGAAGAGCAGCGGGCTCTTGGTGTCCACGTTGTAGGGGTGCCCGGTGGGGAACCCCAGGCACAACAGCAGCAGCACCGCCTCCCGGACCACGGCCCCTTGGGGGCCCAGCCTGCTCCTCGCTTCCCCAGCCATGTGCTCTCGGAAGGGAACATTCAATCCCAAAAAGCCACCGTCCCAAAGTCACGCGGGCGGGAGGAGATGGCCAGGGGAAGAGAGCCCCAAGAGAAGAGGTGCCGCAGCGTGTCCAGCGCCTGGCGGGAGGGAGGGAGGGAGGGAGGGAGAGAGGGTGGGAGGGAGGGACCCGCGGAGGGGAGGGGAAGTTGGTGGCCGCCCGGCAGGCGGAGCGAATGGGGCTGAGAGCCGCTAGGCACCCCCCCCCCCCACCTCCCCGCAGGGCCCCACAACCGGTTTCTGCAGACTCGAGGTACCAGCTTTAGCAGGGGTTCTGAGCTTGGGTTGTTGGGTGGGGTCCCGGGGCGTGGTGCGGAGGTGCAGGGCAGTCTCCCGCTGAAGTGGCTGTAGGGGGCGCTGGGGGACCTCAGCAGCACTGGACACGCGGTCGGGTCTGGGTGTCCCAACAGAGGCGTGGATGACTCTGGGCTTCCCGAGCTTTGCAAGGGTGGATCAGGAAGCGGCACAGGGCTTTGCCTTTTACCCGTGGTTGGGGCCTGATTATGAGGCGGCATGGTCCCAACTTAAGCCACATGCACCCCACTATGAGTGCAGAAGCTCACCAGCTTACCATGACCCAAAGATCAGCCACAAACCCAGGGATGGGAATCATAAACCGGGATGGAGGCCAGGAGCCTTCCAGATCTGTCCTTGATAGTTAAGCAGTGTGTCTGATTTGGGGGGGGGGGGGCGCTAAGTAACCACTCAGGAAATTAATCAGAGGGCTACAAATTTAAAGTAAACTAAAAGAACTCACTGAAGATGTTGGGGGAACCTTCCTGTGATAATGGCTATTCACTTCAGGTCTCCTGTACCCATCTATGCCCACTTCCTTCCGCCCCACACTTCCTCTTAGCTCCTAACTGCTGCAGAGTGCCCTGGGCTGAATGGCACCAGGTTAAACTGTTGCTGAGTAGAACAGCGAGGTTGGGTTAAGAAAGCACTAGGACTTGCCTCACTACAAGGGATCCCCTGGTTCTTGATAGTGCCGGTTTGCATACATCCACCCAGTTGCCACAGGATACACCTGTCCTCAGGCCTGATTCAGAGTGAGCTCAAGACATAGATGCACATTTGAAAATGTGCTGCAGACACACAGCCCACCCAATACAACTGAACTGGGTGATGATTCTCACCTTAATGCATCTTAATGCCCCAGGTTTCTTTCCAGAGCAACTAGAGAGACGGTTGTGGATGATTAGGGCACAGGCGATCCGGCTGACATTTGCAGGAGATGCAGGTCCAGTTATTAACTATTGCTATGTGAAAAAATAAAAGAATGAGAAAGGATTTAAAAAAGGGGAGTGTATTGAGGCCATGCTTAAACAGCACAACTTTAGCTGTAAAAACAGACAAATAATTAAAATGTGTTTCTTCATTCAGCATATTCTTTGAGCTAGCCCTGTGGTAGGTCCATAGGATACAGCTGCAGGAGGTGGTTTTAGGAAAACTTTTCAGCCAAGTGGTAAGGAGACAAACTTTTCCTAACTAGAAAAAGTTGTTTATGTTTTGGGGGCACTTAATGAGAGGTGCTGGAGAAAGAGGAGTGAGTTAGGTTAAGCAGCTTGGGAGGAAAAATGAGGGACAATGCCAGACTCCAAGGTGAAGAGGGAAGCAGGGACACCTGTGATCCTCCTAGCAAGGTTAGGATGTTTCATTCCCTGACAGGAAGCTGTTGATAGGTTTTTCTGAGTAAGCTGAGAATTTCACAAGTGTGAAGAAAAGACTAAATACTAAAACCTAACTTGGGCAGCTCTCTAATGAGAAAAGAGATGATGGAAGTAGCAGAAGTAATAGCGGAAACATGGATTCAAAAGATAGAATCCAACAGAACTTGGTGATAGTGCTGGTAAATATGCATGTGGGGTTGGGATGATAGAATGATGAGCAAATTCTGAGTTTGGGGGTCAGGGTATGTGGTGTTAATGCACAGAGAAAAAAAACATGGTGGAGGAAAGAGGTTATGCATGTGTGTGTGCCGGGAATGCACACGTGAGGGCACAGGTGAATTAAGTTTAGATGTGAAGTCTGAGATGTTTATGGGATGTTAGAGTAATCTAGCCAAACCCAGATGATAATTTTTACTCTTTTGCCAACACATAAGAGGAATACTAACCCTCTCTTATTATTTACAATAAATGGTATGTGATAATCTATTTTAAAATGAAATGGTTACCCAAAAAAGTAGCTATTAAGGCCCATGGTGAATAGTTCTTGTTTCTGTTTTCACAATGAGAGTGTATTTCTTTCTAAGTAGATAGATCTATGTGCTAATTCCCACCCAGTTCTACAACTAGAATATAATGTCATCATTCTGAAATAAGTGCTCTCTCTAGTTTGCAGCCACGTTATTCCCAGTTGAGAGCCAGGAAGCAAGTATAGCAGGTCTTCAAATAACACCCCTTCATTCAAAGCCTTTTCATTATAATGTTGATAAGGGAAAAAAAAAATCCCTGCTGATGTTGAACAAAGGGATGTTATTTAAGGATATGCTTTCATTATTTCATTTTTCTTAAAGCTGCAATTTCTAGCAAGTAAGGACTTAAAGGCATGTCCACACTGTCTGGACTGTATATCAAAGGCATGTCAGAACCACTGATAAGAACCCCTATATCTTTCTTCCCTCCTTTCACCAAAATCTTATAAATGGAATCCATGCTTTTCATAACATAATTAAGATGAGTAGTGGGCAGTAAGGTGTTTGATGGCACAGGACCTTATTTCTATGGTTAGGGTTAATTCATCTTTCCAGAAACAGCCACCCTTCACTACCTCACACGTTATGTTATTCCTGAGTTTCCTTCCTCAAAGACTTAGAGAATACTTTGCTTTCCTAAGTCAGCAATTATAGAGCTTGTGCATTGTTGCTTTGACAAAGCCTAAAGATACTGCTATCTTTTTAATCAATGATCTTGAAGGCAAGTGTGGGGAGGGGGGAAGGGAGACAAAAGGGAGAAGAGGAAGACTTTTAAAAGCCCTTCATTCCTATCCCTTATCCTCAGCTGAACTTAAATATTCATTTATTCAATTGTGTCATTTGATTAATATGCATCAAGTGGCCCCTGTGTGTCAGGAGCTGCACAGAAGACTGAAATAAAACTAGAAGAAAATATAGGTGCTATCTAACCTTAGTAAAAACTCCTCCCCAGTGGAGAGGATTCTGATATGGGCTCACCCAACTTCTCAACTGTTATCAAAAGTGAGCACTCGTTTTTGCAGACCTCTCCACTCATGAACTGCCTGTTTAAAGGACCCCACCCATCCCCCTTCAACCTGGCCACTCTGAGTCTCCTCTACGGGCACCCTCCCCACATCCCCCCCAAAAGTGTTGCAAAGATCCCAGGCTCCATTCTGGGGCCCCTCCCCTTCTCCCTCTTTAGGAAATCTAAGCCAATTCTTATACCTATTAAGTACCACCACTAAACACCACTGAGTCCCCAATCCATGCCTACAACCTGGACCTCTTTTTGGAGCTCTGGGTTCATATGTTTTATTGCCTCTTCTGATGTCTCTGCTTGGCTGTCTAATGAGTGTGGGATACACAGTGTATTTACAGCCAAGTGCTGGTTTTCTGTCCCTCCATATAAATGTATTCTTCTATCCAATCTCTTCTTTTCAGAAAATAGCATTCAGTAAAACCAGCTGTCCAGGCCAGAAACTTGGAAAGTGATCCTTGATTCCTCCATCTCTATATTTCCCACATTTAATCCATTGATCACTGAATTACACCAATTCATCCTTTAAAATACACTTCAAGCTCATCTATTTGTCTTCTTCCACCTGCTACTACCCTCATGGACAATCTCATCTGGGCTGTTCTGAGATCCACTACCTCATGTCCTTGCCCACCACCTCCCCCAAGCCCTGAATTCTCTACACAGAAAGTGAAATAAGATTTTTAAGTTCTAAATCACCATATGCATGGCATTCCCTTGCTTAAATAATTTAAATAGCTTCTCATTGCTCTTCTATTATAAATCACACTTAACTTGGCCTATATCAGAACCCACTGATCTGACCTCTAACAACTTTGCAGCTTCCAATATGGCCTGCCTCCACCCATCACTTCACTTTTTGCTTTAATCCCATCAGCCTTCCTTAAGTACCTCAAGGTTTTTCCACTCTTGGAGCCTTTGTCCATCTGGTTCCTATGCCTGGACACACACTCTCACTTATCACATGATTCTGCATTTTACAATTTTAGCCTAACAGTATCCTCCTCACAGGGGATACTCCTGTTCATCCACTTAAAATAGGTTACCATATTGTTTGGTTATAGACAACCCTGTTCATTCTTTTCATAGCTCTTTAATTTACATTCACAAATTTGTTCACTTTTCAAGTATGACTTCTCTACAATATGCAAGGGGACACACACATTGTGTTGTTACTGCTGCTCACCACTAAGTTTCCAGCACCTGAAATGCTGTCATGCAAATAGCAGGTGCTCAGTAAGTACTTTCTGAACTGAGAGTAATCTGTGTGTTCATAAGTTCATTTCATCTATTATATGCAAAACAATGTGTTGGATCCTTTAGCAGATGCAAAGATATGTTAAAAGTGAGTCTGATCTAAAGAGTTTGTAATTTATAAAGAGAGCTGCAATGTCTTCAAATGTTCTATACATTGGGAAAGGAAAGAACAGGTGCTTATTAACAAATGGTGTGGTGTGAAGAGTAGTCAGGAGACCTAAATTTAGAGTATAGAGCCGGGGATATTAAAGAATTGATGTAATTCATGAAAGAAATTTGACATGAATTGTCAGGCTTTGGTAAGAGGGAAAAGTAAAATATTATTGGCATTTTAAAGTAGATAACTGGGGCCTCCCTGGTGGTGCAGGCAGTTGAGCGCCCGCACTGTGAAGCTGTCTGCAGCGTGAAGCTGCCCAAAGCTTCTGCAGTGCGGGTTTGATCCTGGCCGGCCAGCCGGCGAGAATCCCACATGGCGAAGCAGACCTCTCCTGTCTCGCTTGCTGCTCTGCTCAGTGGTGTACTTCATCAGTCTGCCTGTTCTGTTCCCCGCTCCTGTCTCCGATGAATCCTTTCACCCTCCCGCACATCTGGCCTGTATCCCGGTTCTTGTATAAAAATAAATAAATCTTTTTA